CCGTTGGGGCTGGAATAGCCAACTGTACTTCCTCACATCTCAGATGGGCTGTGCTGGAAAGGGGAAGCCCAACTGCTGAGGCCCCCCAGGGTGTTCAGTCCCCACTGCAGCCTGTCCTCCAGAAGGGTTGTTCTGGCAGGGTCTGCATTTTTGTCCCTGAGCAGGTATAGGCGGGGGGGGGGGTGGCAGGCTCTGGATACCCTCTTCCCAGAACAATGCCTAATCTAGAAGAGGCATCAGGCTTCGAATGGTCCCCTCCCCAAATGCCAAGAGTTGGTCCTATTGGGCAGGGTAGAACCAGGACTGGCTCTTGTTTGGAGCCATTGAGGTGGTGCTAGAGTGTAAGAACATGGGCTCTGGAGTCAGCCAGACCTGGATTTGAGCCCCAGTTGATCTCTTATAAACTGTGTGATTCAGGACAAATAACTAAACCTCTCTGAGCCTCTGGGTTCATGACAAGATAGTGGTATTTACCCCAGAAAGTGCTGGGTGAAAGGCTGGGCACTCAGAAAGACTTGATATAGGGCCATTGTTATTGTTGAAGGCATACAGGCAGTTTAACACCCAAGGTGGAAAGAAGAGCCGGAGCCTGGTGTGACGCTTCCTTCCCTGCCCTCCGGCAGTGGTGCCCCCTCGCCCGTGGTCTCTCTGCCCACAGGCAATAGCAGCTCAGCGCTGCATCACAACGCCCACATCGCTCACCTCACTTCATCTCATCACGTAGACCTTTTGTCATCTCACATTATTACATGAAGAAGGGTGAGTATAGCGCAGTAAGATATTTTGAGAGAGCGAGAGACCACATTTACCTAACTTTTATCACAGTGCATTGTTATAATTGTTCTGTTTTATTATTAGTTACTAATGTGCCTAATTTACAAATGAGACTTTATCATACATGTACATGTATAGGAACAAACATAGTATATATGAGGTTTGGTACTATCTATGGTATCAGGCATCCATGGGGGATGGCTTGGAACATGTCCCTGTGGATAAGGGGGAACTGCTGTAATCACATTTTAGCAGTTATTTTTGTTGAGTACTTACTATGTGCCAGTCACGATTCTGAGGGTTTCATGACTTTTAACTCATTTAATCCAGGCGGCTCAGTAACCTAACAAGAAAGCTATTCTTATCATGCCCAAGGTCACATAGTTGCTACTTGGCAGATCTGGGGTTCACCCCGGGCACCTGACTCCCACCTGACCCCTTCTGCCGCCAGTCTCCTGCATCCTAGCCCCACTCTAGCAGCACTCTGACTCCTGCCTGGAACCCTCCTTGTGTGGGAACAGGGATTCACCCCACTTCTGAAAGTCCCCCGCCTCCAGGGTCAGCCTCCATCTACCCACCAGAACAAAAAGGGGCCTGAATTTGGTCTCCATGAGCTGTGAGTGTGGATGATTCTTTAATGCTGTGCACTAGGTCATGTTTTGAACAGGAGAAAAGGTTTCTGGTGGTGAAGCAATGTTGCCAACAAACCTCATTTGCAAGAAGAGAGGGGGCTGGCATCTGCTGGCTTTTGAGATGTGTGGTGAAGCCCCAGGGAGCCTGTTTGCACAGGCTGTTGGGAAACTGTCAGCCCACTGACGGTGCTTTCCATGGCTGCAGCATATTGCTGGGACAGGGAGGGCCATGTGGGCAGTGCCTACTCTGACCCCAGGGCCTGCAGGGTACTCTGCAACCTGGGGCATGTAGAGCAGATTTCTAGATACCCAGGGGGACAGGAGCATAGTAGCATTTTTATTTGTTCCTTATATTCTTTATTCTACAAATATGATAGATACAAAATTAAGTATGTAGCATATGTATTTCAAGAAATCTGATAATTTCAAGTGTTATCAAGGAGGGAAGGCCCATATACTAATAATGGAAGTGTAACTGGTTCAGTAACTTTGGGAAATAATCTGTTGCTGTCCTATAAAGTTGACAGGCACACACTCCAGAACCCAGCAATTTCTCTGCAGGTATAAATCCAGTAGAAACTCTGGCATATGTGCACCAGACGACGTGGATAAAATGGTCATAATAACGATAATTAGAAAAGGCCTTTATCCTGGTTCTTTGCACAACCCCATGGCCCTGAGCCCTGGGGACTGTTTAGTTGGAAAATTGCAGCTTGAGGCAGAGCCCATGCATAACTCAGCAGTGAGGACCCCTGAGACCATCTCCCCCAGGCCCTCAAGCCTCCCATGGGGAGTCAGGCACAGTCCCAAGGGTCAGTGGTGGCACCAGGAGTGGAGCTTTCTACCTCTCAGGGCTCTGTGTGGCAGCTTTCCCCCAGAACCTGCCAGGTGAGGAAAGGCTGACTTCTCCCAGAGCATCAGGGTAGCTCCTAGGGACCAATAACAGGCCGACTCCTTTCTGTCCTGGGGCTTTGGCGGGGCTGAAGGGAGAGTAGTGGCCTTGCACCCAGAAGACTTAGGTTCAAGCTGAGGCGCAGCCACCCTCTTAGCCTGTCTCCCCTGTGAAGTGGGATTCCTTGTCCCTGCTCTCAGTGATGCTGTCGCAGGGAGGCTAAGAGCATGCAGTTTGTGGTTGCAGACTAGGTTCAAACCCTGCCTCTGCCACTTTCGTGTGACCTTGGGCAAACTCTTGGACCTGCCTTACAAATGGGGGATGATGGAGTGATGCTGATTCCTGATTTCCAGTAATCCTGGGAGGATTAAATGATAATGCAAGAGATTCAGCCCAGTACCTGGCTCCCAGGAAATCCCCCCCATGTACTCATGGGGTATACTGGAAATTTCCCAGGAAGGCCCAGGGTGGAGCAACCTAGGGGTAGGGCAGGAGGTGGGAGACTCCTGGAGAAAGAGCAGATGGGGACAGGCACATACAGTGTTCAGGCTTAAATATTCATGAGCTGTGTGATCTTAGGCAAGCTACTTAACCTCTCTGTGTTTGTTTCCTCATCTGTACAATGGGAATAATGATTGCAACTGTCTCACAAGGTTGTTGTGAGGATTCAGTGAATTAACTTGTGTAAAGGCCTTAGGTAGTGTCTAGACCATGATAAATGCATTATAACGCTCTTCTCTTCACCATCCTATGGGGTCCTAGATTAGGCTTAGAGGCTGGCTCTTTTCCAACTCTGCCGTCAGCTTTCTGTGTACCTAGAGCAGTGTTCTCATCTTGTGGATTCAGTTGCCTCTGCTGTGTTTGCAGGGGTCCCAGGCTGCTTGGCAGCACAGCATTCTCAAAACTCCTTGTGTATGGGGATTCCCCGGGAAGCTTGTGATGCAGATTCCTGGACTCCACCCGGGACTCCCTGACAGTAGATGAGCATGGAGTGGTTCAGACACCACACTTTGGGACACATTGCCCACACAATACCATAGAAATATGGGAAAGGAGACCTCACCTAGCCCTTTAGGCATCTCAGGTTGATCCCTCTTCTATGCTCCTTAACCTCTGACCTCTGAACCTACTCCTCCTGCTTTTTTCCAGACCCTATTCTCTCTTCAGCAACTCTGGGTGCTCCCTGGCTGGGTCTCATTCCCACTTCTCTCTAAACATTGCTAAGGTCATCTTGCCCCACAAGAGGAGTAGGGGCTAACTGTAACCTGACACCAGACCCATTTACCCTGCTGTCACATGCATATGTCCCTCACTCCTCATGACAACGAGGGAGGTCAGACCTAAACCAGACCCGTTTTATAGAGGAGGAAGCTGAGGCTCGAAGATGGCAGCAACTTGCTCAGGGTCACCTGTCCAGTAAATAAACCAGTCAGAACCAGACCCAGGAAGCTGGATTCCTGAGGCTCTTTAGAGCCATAATGTGTGACCAGAGAGAGGTGGGGCTGCCAGGCAGGCCAGTGCTGGAGGACTGTGTCCATCTTGGGCCCTAGATGTGGCTGGAGCATGTCCCGTAGAGTGATGCTGCCTGCGTGCCTTCCATCCCTGACTGCAGGCCTCTGCCTCTACCCAGCCCTGCCTCCACCTCTCCTGTCTTCCTCTGTGTCCCCTGGCCCGACCATTTCAGTCCCTGAAGCATTCTGCTGTCTTTTCTCTCCCTCTCAGAGATCCCATGCCTCCTGATCAGGGATCAGTTCCTTCCCCAGCAGAAGCTTCGCACGGGCCAGGCTCGTCCGGAGGCCCCTGGGCTGTACGCTGGCTGTTCCCTTGGTGAGGCCTGCAGTCCGAGACCCTTCACCCCTTTCCATCACTTGGGACTCAACCTCCAAAGATTCCCACGTGCTTCAGGCGTCTGCTTGGGCTCTAAGCCTGTGGTCAAAGGGCGGACTCAGCTCAGGGGCCCCAGGGGCACCTCCCACCGGGGCTGCCCTTTAGACTCAACTAGGGCTCAGAAATCATGTCTGGTATGGAGAACATGTCCTTCAATGGCCTGGTGACACAGATGGGAAGCTTTGCCCTCGATTGGGTCAGGCGCCCTCCCATGGCCACAGGGCCAGGCAGCGAGCGGCAGAGCTGGGGCTGGAGCCCGTGCCCCTGTCCCTGGACCAGCGTGCCCTTCCCCCTGCTGTGTCCCAGCCAACACCCTGACTTCCCTTCCTCTCTGCTGCTGCTGGAGCCTAAGCTGACACCACTGCTCCTCCAGCTTTGCTTCTTGAAACCATTATTTGAAAACAGTTTTCCTTGTCAGGAGCCCCAGGCTCTTTGGAGCTGTGAAATCAAGCCTGACAGAACAAGGAAGAAACACTGTTTACAGAGAAGCCAGGGAGGCTGGCCGAGCCTCGGGCATGGCGGCAAACCTCAGGCCCACAGGACACTGACACTGCCCACTCCCCCTGCTCCCAGGCCCCCATCGAAGCACAGCCACACGGAGCCCTGGAAGCGCGTTTGCTCAGGACAGGATCGGAGCTTAGAGGTCATCCAGGCCTAGTTCCCGTGTAGATGGGGAAACTGGGACGCAGAGAGACAGAAGACAGAGAGGGTCAGCAGGAGAGCGAGGACCAGCCCCTGGGGGGCAGCATCTCCCTGGGGAAGATGGTGCAGAGGCCCCCCTGTTCGCAGACCCCGCATCTGCCGCTGGTTCTTACCTCTCCTGTAGTCCAGTCCAGATGTGGCTCCTTGTGGTCCCGATACAGGGGCCAGCCCGTTGGGGATGGCTGGGAGTGTCACTGCTTCTCAACTAACTTGACTGAACCTCTGACACCCCTCAGTGGCACATGGGCATTTTTAAATGGCTGGCACCGGGCTTCCCTCCCCTTAGCCCCAAGCCCACTGCTCCCTGGATGCAGAGACCCCACTGCCTTTTACCTTATATGAGCTGAAGAGGCGAGCCCAGTGTTGGGGCGCATCGGGTGCTGAGTCCTCTGGGGCCCCCCATTGGCCCGGGAGTCCACCACGTGACCACCTCGCCTTGACCTGCCCCTGGTGCTGAATGTTGCTTTTACCCCCTAAGGAAGGAGTGGTTGACAATTTTCATATTTCTTCTAAATTTGGAGATTTCAGACAATGCTGGGAGGCTTGGCTCCAGCTGCCAGAGGCCCATGTGGAAGTCATTAAGCAGGAGAAGGGGGGCCTGGGGAGAGAGGGAGGCAGGGCGAGGAGGAGAAGGAAGGGGGTGGGGCCGGAGTTCTGAGGGTTGCCATTTGTAAGCCTGGGAACATGAGCAGACTCCCTGGCAGCATGTTGTGTGTGAGAATTTCCTTCCTTTTCCCTGGTCCCTGTGTCCCAGGACTGGAGTGGGGGTTCTGAGATTTTCTGGGAACTCCCAGTGAGAAAGACACCAGTCTTGGCTCCTGGCATCCAGGGGGACGGTGTGAATGTCAGGGGACAGGGGATCATGAGGAAGTGAATCCCTTCTCTAGGAAGCCAGGATCCTGGGAGGCCAACCCCATCATTGTACAAAGCAAGCCCAGGACCCCAGTGGGAAAGGGCCTGCCCATCCCACAGGAGGCTGTGACAGCACAGGAGCTTGAGTCCAGGGATTGCCCACTGGGGCTCTCTTTCCACTGCAGTCCTAGTCCTGAGAAATGCCCATCTCTCACTATAGTCCCCCTTTCTCATTATACTTCAACCACATTGGCTTCCAGTAGGTTTCTTAGCATCTTTCATGCCTCAGGGCCTTTGCACTTGCAGTTCTCTCTGCCAAAAGAGCCTTCTCCCCAGAGCTTCCCATAGCTGGTTCCTTCTCCAGCTTCTGGTTTCAGCTCAGAAGTCCTCTCTGGGAGAAGCCTTGCCTGGCCAGTGTATTATGTCCACTTACCCTGCTTGTTGCCCTCCAGAACATTCATGCACCATGTTTATTTTAATATGTACTGGTTTAGTTGTGCATCATCTAGCTCTTCCAGAATAGTATGAAGCAGACCTGGGCAGGGTCCGTGTCCCCAGGTCTCCCACAGTGCCCTTGAAGAATGGCCAGAAGGACCAGTGTGTTGAGGGGCAGCCTTGAGGATAGAAGCGGCCACTCTGAGGTCCCTGGAGGCCTTCTCCCGGTAGCTGGCCATGGCCTGTGTCAAGGGCTGCCCCCGCACCCCTGCCTTTTGTTGCTCTGATGCCAGAAGGGAAGCTCACATTCTCCTTTACAGTCCCCCAGACCTTGGCCCACACTTTGCCCATTCTTCTCTTCCCAAGGGGCCCACATTCCTTCTAGCACACAGATCCATGCTGTCCTGTGTGTGGCCCTGAGGGGTGTGGAGTGGGGAACCTGACACTGTGCCTGACCCCAAGAGGTCCCCAGTCCACGGGAGAATCTTCATCCTTTCTTCATCCCTTCTGAGGGAAGATTGCCCTTGATGCTGGGAGCCCTGTGCACTTGCTCCTGCCTTGGCTGCATCCTAGCTGGGAGGGAGGCATGCAGTCATTTAACTGCTGTGCTGAACCTCACTTTCCTCCTCTGTGGAGTGGGGGCTATAAGCCTGTCTGCAGCATTACCATGAGGGTCAGGTGCAGTGACACCTGCAGTCCTGGGGGACAGGTCAAGGAGGGGTTCTGGAGTCCAGCTGTGCTCAGCAATACCTCTGCTACTTCCAGGGGAGCTGGGGTGCTCAGGAAAGTCACTTACCATCTGTGAGTCTCACCTCCCTCTTCTAGAATGGGGCGAAAACCAGATGCCACCCCCCAGGACTGCTGTGAAGGACTGCTCCCATGCTTCTGAGGGGGTTAGCCCCGCCTCGGAGTGAGTACTCAGTGTTAGGTGTTAGCAGGGGCTCTGACTCCAAACCCAACACACGGCAGACTTGCCATGCATGCCAACCCCTCTCTTCCTGAATCAAGAAGATGGATTCTCATTCTCCCACCTCTGAGCTGTAAGATGGTGGACAGAGAAGGCTTGTAACCCCACTCCCCACGCCTGCCCAGCATCCCAGTTTAACACTGTGACACACCACCAACAGGGCAAAGATAGAGGCAGCTCAATGCAGCCCTCAAACCTATGGAAAATCCATTGTGATTCAGAGACAGAAAAGAGAAACAGGGAAAACCTACCAGCATGAGTGGTGGAGAGACCTACCATTTCTTCACCCAAGACCTGTGCGTGGCCAGCCACTGATTTGGCTACATCTGTGCACCAACAGGCTTCATAGTCAGGAAGTCCGTCACTAGACACCAGGACGAGGAACTGAGGTGACCCGGAGACAGATTCTAGGGGATGAGTTGTCCCGGCACCAAAATATCTCAAAAGGTTAGCTAAATGGCAGCCATTTGTGACTCAATCTCCATAAATCTGTCTCAAACATTTTTTAAGTCATTTCTGTTTCCTCCCATATCCTCTCTTGGGAGTTATGCATGCATTATGTTTATTAGCCACTGTGTGAAGTGGCTTTTCTTTTCAGACTATGGCAAAGCAGTCTAGAAATCTCTCCATTCCCAGAGGAAGCAGGTCAGTGAGGCTCCAGTGTAACATGTGTAAGGTGTCATGGGAGGTGAACAGGCCTCTAGTTAGGAGCCGGGTAGGAGAGTGTGTTTGGGGAGTTCTGGGTCCTCAGAGGGTGGTGCAGACAGCCCAGGGGCAACCCCAACCAGCAGGGTGAGGGGCCTGGAGAAAAGGAGGCCAGGAAGAGCTGCTTTATCCCTACAGGTGATCAGAGCAGAGGATGAGCTGTTCAATTGAAATCAGAAAGATGGAGTTTAGATTTGCTTCAGAGGGACTTTTTAAGTCAGTGGAGTTACTCAAGGATGAAATGGGCTAATGGGCTCTCTTAGTAAAGTGATGAATTCCCTGTCACTAGAGGAATGCAAGCAGAAGCTGGGTGACAATTTGGCAAGTCCCTTCTAGCCTAGAGATCCTATGAACTTTATCTCACATTTCATGTTCTCACTCCAACCTGTCCTGAACCTCCAGCTCTGATGCCACGCTGATTTGACTCAGAAAGCACAGATTTGTACTGTGGGAGGCAATTATGTGTTGGAAAGGGCCATAACCCATGATTTAAAAATCAACCCCTATATGTTTTCTTTGTTGAGCATCAGACTTTTGTTTCATTGCCCGAGTATAATTCTGAGAAGTTAGTAATAGAAAATTAGTGAAGAAACGCTTATATGAGTTGATCCTTGAACAACACAGATTTAAATTATGCAGATCTATTTATATGGAGTTTTTTCAATAAATACAGTACAGTACTGTAAATATTCTTCCTCATGATTTTATTAATAACATTTTCCTTTCTCTAGTCTACTTTATTGTAAGAATATAGTATATGATACATAGAGCACTATATAAAATATGTGTTAATTGACAGTTTTGTTATTGGTAGGGCTTCTCCTCAACAGTAGGCTGTTAGTAGTTAAGTTTGGGGAGAGGTGAAAATTATGCACAGATTTTTTTTTTAAATGTCATACAGAAAGTATTTTTATTCTGTAAAATCCAAAATTAAAAAGTAAATTCTTGTCCTGAAGGATGATGGATGATAGTGGGGGTAGATTTCTATTGGCCTTCTCTGGAGGTCAAGTAATTTTTGCTCAGTGACAGACCATAGCAAAACGCTATGCTTTCTTTTTTTTTTTTTTTAAGGGCAATAGCTGATTTTTTTTTTTATTAACGACAATAAAATTCTGTATAGAGGAGTCAATGCTCAATGCACAATCATTAATCCATCTCAAGCCTAATTCTCATCAGTCTCCAAACTTCTGAAGCATAACAAACAAGTTCTTACATGGTGAACAAATTCTTACATAGTGAATAAGTTCTTACATGGTGAACAGTACAAGGGCAGTCATCACAGAAACTTTCGGTTTTGATCATGCATTATGAACTATAAACAATCAGGTCAAATATGAATATTCGTTTGATT